CAGTGCTACCTGAGTAATTTTAAGAGACCAAGCAAGATACATGTCATAGCATCAGGCTCGCCCTAAGTGGTCAGTTTTCTGTTGTTATTTAATTTTATGAATTCCTGCTTGAGACTTCTAAACCAAACCATTCAGCCTTGATATAGCCTTCCTGAGGAGAAACTCAAAAGTATTTTCAAGCACCATTGACTTTTATTTGGGTTTTCCAAGCAATACTATTTACTAAGAATTAAACACTTTACACTCTCAACAGGCAGGTTAAGCTTCACCTGAAGACGCTGAAAAATTCTCAGGAAGTACATCAAACACAATGATACATTTTTCTCCATTTTAGGATTATTGCTGAAGTCACAAAACTTCATGGTGTTTGAGCTTGGAATGTTACCTGTGCTCTTATCCCTTCTCAAGTACATGGAATCGAAATGATAAAGAAAGGCACTCCAGCATTGCACAGACCTGCTGAAATATCTCCTGAGAAATGTTGGTTGCTAAAGATTGTTTCCTCAAATTAGGAGGAAAAAAAAAGTAATTTTGGATAAGTCAAGATATGCATCTAATCTTGGTAGAAATCTATGTGAAACAAAATATCAACTTCTAGAAGCCTTCCCTTTTGCTAATTACAGCATGTTAGCCAGCAAATTCCTACCCCGTCAATACAACTGAGTGAAGAAGCAGCCATTGTGTCTGTGAGGGTGAGAAAAGACAGTTTCATAAATGTAAAGTGATTACTTGGGGTAGCATGTAAAAATACTAGTATATAAAGAGTAAGTGTAAGTTTAAAAAGGCTGTGCCCTCCTAGGTTAATGAAGATTTTAAGAGTAATAGTCACTGGGTAATTGGTTTCATTTTTAGGTAAGTTGAAATAGCAGTAGGAAAAAATACATTTATTTTTAGAAGTGAATGTTTCTTGCAATGGTTTGAAGGGGTTTCTTAGAGACTGGATGGAAATTACATTTGAAAAATGAGATGAAAACAATGATTTAGCAGCAATGTGCCTTCTTAGCTTCACCCGTGCTCATTCTCAGCAAGCAGGATAAAGTGCCCAAGGAAGTACCATCTATTTACCACCACAGTGGAAGGTAAATGAGGTGGTCCTTGGGCCAAATTATAAAGCACAAGAAGATTTTAAGAAATTAAAAAAATAAACATATTTTGATATATTGGAATGACCTCTTTTAAAAAAATAACATTGTCTCCATTGTCAAAGATCCCTTACCTCTTTTAAAAATAGAGGTGTACTTACACCTGAACTACTAATTTATTATTTTCAATTGAGTGTGAATGAGTGTAATTTCACATATTTCTCCTACTGTAGTGTATTTGTATTTACTATGATTTCTTTAAACGTTTGTACATTAGAAGGTAACCACCACTGAGACAGATGATATATATATATAATTTTAAATTTAAATTCTTTATTGCTTAAAGCAGCAGTTCTCAACCTGTGGGTCGCGACCCCTTTGGGGGTCGAATGACCCTAGGAAGGTTGAGAACCACTGGCTTAAAGTATTACATGAGTCCCCCTTTTCCCCCATTGACCTCTCCATGGCCACTCCCACCCCCAAGCACAAGCCCTCACTTCCCTACTGTGTGTGTCCATTGGTTTTGCTCATATGCATGCATACAACTGCTTTGGTTGATCTCTTACCACTTCATCCCCTCCCCCCCCGCCTTCCCTCATAGATTGTACAGTCTGTTTGATGCTTCTAAATGTCTCTGGTTCCATTTTTGTGTTTATGTTGTTCATTATTTTCCACAAATGGGTGAGATCATGTGATATTTATCTTTCTCTTACAGGCTTATTTCGCTTAGCATAATGCTCTCCAGGTCCATCCATGCTGTTACAAATGGTAAGAATTCCTTCTTTTTTACAGCAGCATAGTATTCCATTGTGTAGATGTACCACAGGTTTTTAATCCACTCATCTGCTGATGGGCACTTAGGCTGTTTCCAAATCTTAGCTATTGTAAATTGTGCTGCTATGAACATATGGGTGCATATATCCTTTCTGATTGGTGTTTCTGGTTTCTTGGGATACAGTTCTAGAAGTGGGATCACTGGGTCAAATGAAAATTCCATTTTTCACTTTTTGAGGAAATGCCATGCTGTTTTCCACAGTAGCTGCACCAGTCTGCATTCCCACCAGCAGTGCACAAGAGTTGCTTTTTCTCCACATCCTCACCAGCACTTGTACTCCTCTGCATGTTCTTCACTCCCATTTATATCCGTCTTCTCTGCTCTTGCAAAGGTCATGCCTTCTCTCCTAATGTCTCCCTTACCTTTCTTTTGCTCCAAGGCCTCTTGGACTGGAAAACAAGAATATAAATGATCTCATTGCCAGGTATATATTGAACATTCTGTATCTCTCTCAGCATAGACCTCAAACTTGCAGCACTAACTTGTGATGATACATATGGCGACTTCTGTACCTTGAACACCGATTTTAGGAGAAATGCTATGAGTTTCATCTTTACAACAAACCTTTCAGAATCAGTTAAGGAAACTTGGACAGAGAGAAATTGCCGGTTATTCTTCATAGACATACATGAGTATCAGACTTATTTTTATTCCAGCAGCATTTGCTCATCCTTAAACTGAATAGAAGAAACATTGTTGAGAGCATTTTTTAATGTGTAAGAATATTGCTTTGATTTCTTACAAAGAGTTCCATTTTGCAGATCAAAGAAATGGAATTCGATGGTTTTAAATCTTTAAAAATCTGACATCCTTAAATTGTGCTAAAGTCAGAGTACATACAAAAGGCAGACATGCTTCCTTTTCAGAAACTTGTAATCTACACTAATAAAAGAGAAAAATGGTAATTGGCGTACGACGCTACCCTTTTCATTGGATAATCAGGGCTATATGCAAATTAACTGCCAACTCAGATGGCAGTTAACTGACAACAAAGATGGAGGTTAATTTGCATATGTAGGCACAATGCAGGGAGGCGAAAGGGAAAGCAGGAAGAAGCCCCCTGCCACTGACAGT